ACGGCCCCCCAAAATGCTTGAGTTCAACATGTTTGCATGTAGATGTGAGATGGGTTGGAGGTCAAGTAATTTTTAAGACATTTTAAGATCCATGTGGTTGCTTAAACTATGTTCATCTTACTTTTATAAAAGCTAAAAATCAACCTCAGAACCACTGGCCAGAATTTATCTAGTTGCTATGTCCACACCCTTCTGGAGGTCAGGGCCACCAGGGTCATGAGACTGGCCTGGAGCTGCCACCGGAGTCTGCAGTCCATGGTGCCCAAGAGTCGGCTGCCCACTTAACTGGCTCCATCCCCACCCCACCTCCTGGGTCAACAGTGCCCTGGAATTCCCAATCCAATGTACCATCCATTACCCCGAGCCTGGAATCTACATGTGCCCTCCTTTCCGTCTTCCCTCCTTGACTTTTACTCCACTCAGCAGGAAAGAGTCCTTCTTCAGCCCCAGCAGGTATGATCTTGAGCCCTTTCCCTCTCATTCCAATCACGGTCTACAGAGCCACCAAACTCCAGCAGCCAACTTAGCCCATCATTCAAAATGGTGCTGTCTGAAACCCGCCCCCTACAACATCAGTGTGTCATTTAGCAGAGAACAGAGGCCCAACACGAGCTAGTTTCAATCAAGCTTTTAATGAAAAGATCATAAAATAACAGTTTCTTGTCACTGTACATTAAGACTGCACGCTTCTGAAGGAGAGGTCAGTCGTTGGAGAATTGCTTTTCTATGACATGTGGTGAGCCATGTTGCAGCTCTGACCTGAATTTATTCCAACACTTCCAGGGACATGAACTCAAGTGTTTATTACAGTGACAGTGGTGGAGGCCGGTACGGGAGTGTGAGTCGGGGTGCCCTACCCTGCTTTCTGGGAAGGGCCTGGAGGATGTGACCCCTCCTCCAGCTCCAGTAAAACTGAACAGTTGGAACCCCACCCCCCTCGAGGTATTTATGGATAGGTCTGTGCCCAACCTGGGGTCCCCCCGGGGGTGGGGTGGGGGGAGAGCAGTGATAGGTGGGATACAGAGAGGCTCCCCTCAGCACCTGGCCCCATGAGGCCCCCACCAAATGGAGGGGGGGGCCTGGGAGCCTCCCTGTCCCAGGTGAGGTCTGTGGTGCAGCATCTGAGGTCAATAAATTACAGAATAAATAGCAGGTGAGGTAGGGGGGGGCTCCTGGTAAAGAAGCAAAAAGCAAAGTAGGTTGACGGAAGCTGGGGGTTCCTAGGAAGGGGTTCTGGGTAGTCTCAAGTCTCCCAGCATGTCTACCCCTCCCTTTGGAATGTCAGACTGAGGCTCTTGCTAGGTCTGCTCACCTCACATAGATTCACAGGACTTGACATACCAGCAAAGGCATGGCTGGCGGCATCCCCTGGGTCTGCCTTTCCCCTGAGAACTCGGGACAAGATGGTTGCAACCTCCTCTTCCCTGAGCCTCAGCTCTGCCCTCCCAGTGACCCAGGCCCGTCAGTGCTCATGGCCTGCAGTCCAGAGGACACAAAACGGGTGTGGGCAGGCTTGTCTAGCCCAGGATGGAAAGGGACATAGACATGCTGTGTGGTGATGGAAGTAGGCAGGTCCGACTGTTCAGGACACAGGCTGAGGTGTATGGCTATGCTGTGGTCTCATAGTCTCAGTTGTATAAAGGTCTGTCCAGTCTTGCTTCCCTTTTTGCAATCCTGGGGAACCCACAAGGGGTTCAGTCTGGCAGGAGCGTGAAATGGCAGAGCTCAGCCTGCCTCACGCCCCAAGTCTGAGAAATAAATACATTCATCACTGCACAAACATATTGATACAAAAACAACACTGTTAAGAGTGTTTGCACCGTATGAAGGGAAGGGCCAGGCCCAGCCAGCCCCTTCCACTGCCCATGGAGACTTCCCGAGATGGGGGACTGGCTGGAGTCAGCCATGCTGTATAAAGGTCCTGGCTTTTTGGCTTGAGGGGAACCCTCGCATCAGGCCACCTGAGGGCAGCAGGCAGAAGCCCAAACCCAGACTTGGGTCCTGTGGCCAGAGCCACCAGCCACCCCCTCCAGTGCCAGCTGGCCAGGATGCCTTGGTCTTGCCAGAAGGCCATGGAGGTGCTGGTCAGCACAGGTCAAGCTCTTTGGTGCCATCTGGGATGGAGATGAGGGCTTAGAAGGCTCCACTCCACAGGCCTCCCCCAGGGGGCGCCTCTCTGCCCAGGAGTTGTCCCCTGGCAACTGGGGCCTCCGGCGGCAGGTGAGGCTTCACTGGGCCTGGCCTTACAGCTGCTGAGGTCTGAAACTGTCAAAGTTTATGTAAACAATGAGATCAATATATTAGTTATCTTTTTTTTTCTGAGCCCACTGAGGTTTCCACTCGTATTCAAAATGTGCTTTGGTTTAAAAAATAGGTTTTGTGAATTTGGGTATGAGCTTTTTCTTTTCTTCTTTGTTTTAATCCTCTTTCCTACATGATATCTGCTACTTTCTCCTGTTTTCTCCGAAACATTTAGGAATGAAGTGACTAAAGTAGAGAACTTTGCAAGCCACCGACTTTGGCCTCCACCGGCTGGATTTCCTCATTAGGCTCCCACACGTCTCCACACACACATTCACAGGCACACACTTGAAACACTTGTCAAAAGAAAATGACAAAAGAATGAAGTGTTGCGATCTGCCCGCCCCACCCCACCAACCCTTGAAATCTTAAATATGAAACTAGTGTTCTGCTTTCTCATCAAAATACAGAAAGAGGCTCGGCACAATACCAAAGGTGGGTACAATACTAGGTCGCACAGACGTCGTAAAGTTGAAGGGGGATCTGCTCCCCATCCCTGAAGTTCTGCAAATGAGTCACCTACCCTTACCAATTGCCTGGCAATGGGCAGGCCTACGTACAATCCTCGCTCTTGCGTGTACAGACTTTGTGTCGTGTAGCTTAAGTGCTGACAGTGGGGCAGGATAGGCAGGGTCTCCCCGAGCCAGATCCTTACCCACCCATGCTGGAACCTGAGACCCAGGGTCCCGAGTATCATGCAGAGGGGACAGAAGCCTCTGCCTGCTTGCCTCGCCACTGAGGTCCCTGTTTCAGCTGGAGGCTCTCTAGAAGGGTGGAGGGGGGTGGTGGAGGGGTAACTCCAGAGTTTTTTGGTCTAAACTTAAAAACACCCCAGTATATATCCACTGCCTTTGAGTTGGTTCCACCTCACGGTGATTCTACAGCACAGAGTAGAACTGCCCCTGAGGGTTTACAAGGCTGTGAATCTTTACAGAAGCAGACTGCCACATCTTTCTCCCTCAGAACGGCTGCTGGGTTCTAACCACTGACACTTTTGGTTGGGGGTCCAACACTTAACCACCAGGGCTCCTTGAACTTAAAAGAGGGGGGAAAAAAAATACAAGAATTGCAAAAAGGAAAACAAAGGCGATAATGCCGGCTAGCTGGCTGCCTGCATCTCCAGCAGCCAAGAGATGACCACTGGGCCTGTGTGGGCATCCAGCTCAGGGAAGGAAGTGGCTGTGAGAAAGCCCCAGGGTAGCTGAGGAGTAAGGGAGTCTCCCCTGCCCCCACTCTGCCTAGAGCTGAGTGAATGGTGGGCAGATTCCTGTCCCTGCCCTGCTGGAACCCACAGGTCTTTCCCCATCCTTGAGTAGACACATCACTTTGGTCACAGTTCCCATCTGCTCAAGCACCTGGGGGCCATCTACTCTTGAAAGCGATGTGCTTGACCCCACCCTGCATGTGTGGAGTGGCACAATACCACTCAGAAGAGGTGACCATGGCTTGAAGCACCTGGAGGAACGTGTATACTTGGAGAGCCTGCCACTGCCGAAGTATCCATCCAGAGACCACTGAGCTTTGGTCCCTCACTCAAGCAGATCCCAGGCCTTCCCAGTTGGAGGCCAGATGGCCCCTGAGATGACTAACAGGAGGAACACAAGTGTCCCAGCCTCTACCACCAGTCACCAATACATTGTTCAAGTGGATTCAAGAGGTAGCAAACAGCCAGAAGTCTCTCCCACCTTGTTCAGTGAGGGAAGGAAAGTGAAACATCTGTCCACACTCATTGGGCATACACACGCACGCACACACGCAGAGAAAATTAAAAAACAAAAACAAGAGTACCAAGGACTCGGTACCAAGTCCAGCCTACCCATGCCCACCCCCCTTAACCCCAGACCTTCCAGTTCAAACACTCACATAAACGTTACACTGGTTTTCCTCTTAATAAAAAACAAGTACCTCTAAACAAAGAATATTCCTTGGAAACTATAAGAAAAGCGTTTTCTCCCAAGGTGGCTGAGGCAAGGCCAGGGGAGCCCGGGAAAGCCTTTGGGCAAAAAGGGCTTCTATCTAGGGCCTGCAAAAGGGGGTGTCTCCTGGGTCTGTGCCACCACAGAGGGTGGGAACAGAGGGGGGCGGTTGCCCCTATTACATTCCAGCTGCACACCCAGGCTCAGTTGGTCCTGGGGGTGGGGGTTAGGGGTGGGGCCAAGAGACAGGGAAGGGACCCTGGGAGAAAAATGGTTTGTTTTGGTTTAAAAACAAAACAAAAATCAAAATGTAAAAATGGAAAGGAATAGCTCAGTAGGAACAACAGCAACCCAGCCCCAGAGGGCTCTTTAGGTGTAGAGGTAGGCAGGGTCACCCTGGGGCCAGTGGGCAGGGCACGCCCCCCTCAAGGGCATTGACTCCCTGGACCAGGGTCCCAGCCCCGACACCACCCAGCCACAGGCACCCTCTCCACGCACAGCCCTCTGCTGAACTTGACGAGGGAGGAGCAGCCAGGCCGTGGTGCGACCAGGGGGATGGGAGGCGAGGTAGACTGACTCGCTGGGCATGGTGCCATCAGCAGCGTCCCTTCTTCTTTGCTTCCCTTGGTATAGACTGTCCATTAAAGCTCTTGGGGGGTGGGGAGGGCGGGGGCTGTGCCAGGAGCCCTGCCGGACACCCACCCACCTTGCCTTCTGCTTGCTTTCCGGCAGCTGGTCTTCGGGGGACACCCGCGCCGGCTGGGGGCGGGTGGTCTTTGGCTTCTAGGAGGGGGAGGTGTGCATCCGTAGGTGGCTGATGAGGTTGCGCTGCTGGGTGAACTTGCCCCCGCACAGCTGGCACTCATAAGGCTTCTCACCTGAGTGCACACGCATGTGCTCTGTGAGGCGGTACTGGCGGGTAAAACGCATACCACACTCATCACAGGCAAAGGGCTTCAGACCCAAGTGACTGCGCATGTGGCGGGTCATGGTGCCACGCTGTGTGAACATCTTGCCACAGATGTTGCAGGGGAAAGGTCGCGTCAGCCAGTGTGTCTTCTCGTGCTGCCGAAGTGTGGCCGGGTCCTTGTAGGTCTTCTCGCACACTGAGCACTTGAAGGGCCTTGGCTCAGCGGCATAGGCAGAGCTGGGCGCTGACAGGTCCTCGGCCTCTTCCTCAGCTCCCCCACTGCCTGTCTCATAAGCCCCCTCCTCTTTGATGAACAGCTCTTCCTCCGTATGTGTCTCCACGTGGGCATTGAGCTGCTCGGAGCTGGGGAAGCCCTTGGCGCAGGGGATGCACACGTACAGGTTATCCCCATAGGACACTGTCTCGTAGCCCTCAGGCCGGTATAGGTAGTGAGCACCAGCAGGTCCACTGCCTGCCTCACTGCCGCTCTGCCCGCTGTCCTCGCTCCCGTCCTTGCCATTCTCCTCCTCCTCCTTACAGGGGTATGGGGGCTCTCCAAAAGGCCCACTGGGGCCACTCCCACCACCTAGGACACCGTTGGGCACCCTGTTCCCGAGACCCTCGCCCTCCTCACCCTTGGGCACCACCTCCTTCCGCTCCAGGGGGGCACAGGGCTCCTTCTTGCTCCAATCCTTTTTACGAGCTGAATGTCGCAGGCTCTTCCGGGGCTGCCCACTGGACCCCTCCAGCCGGTTCAAGGGGGTGTCCTCAGCTCCCTCCAGATCCATGGGCTCTTCAGGGGCACCCCCCAGCTCGGCATAAGAGGCACTGTTGGCAACAGGAGGGACAGGGGCGGAAGGGGGCGAGCCATGCTGACTGTCACTCAGTTGGGATAGGTCGTCGGAAGTGAGGTGGGGTCCAGGTGTGGTAGGGGGTAGAGGGGGGCTCTTCTTAGACAGGTCCAGGCCTAGCTCTTGCTCACAGGCCCCACTGCTCCCATTGGTGTTGCCGCTGCAGCCGCTCAGACCAGCTTCTCCACCGACAGGACACAATGGCCGGCTCAGGCTGTGTGCCCCATCCTGGTTGGAGGTGCTGAGGAAGGGCTCGTCATCTGAGCCTTTGGCCTGGGGGAGCTCCTGGGCAGGATGGGCTCCCTTGCACCCATCCCCATGGCCTGGGTAACGGGCCTGGATGACGGAGGTGGTGGATAGGCGCTGGCTGCGGGGGGGCCGCCCCATGCCAGCAGTCCCTACCCGTGCAGAGCCAAAGGGCTTGCCCGCCCGCTTGAGGCGGCGGCGGCAGAGGGCTGCTAACTCAGGCAGCTGGAGGTAGCTGGCGGCGGTGAGGAGGGTGCTGAAGTTGGGCTCGGATGGCTGGTCACTGGGCAGCAGCTTGCCTGTGTAGATGAAATCCAGGATCTGCTGGAACACTGTGGAGCTGACCATGTCTGTGTCCAGGCTGATGAGGTTGTCATGCAGCACCAGTGACTTGAAGTAGATGCTGCTGGCGGCCAGCACGTTCTTGTGGGCCCGGAAGATGGAGTTCTCGACCATGATGATGACGTCACACAGGAAACCCTTGGTCCTCTGCTGGTTCAGCTGCAGCAGGAGTTGCTTCGAGTGGCTGGGCAGCTCCATGTCAGGCCCCATGTCCCCGCACCCTCCCCACACGCACCACCTGTGGGCAGAGAAGAGGCAGGCATGGGTTAATCTAGCAGAATGCCAGTGGCTGAAAGACAGGTAGGGCCCTCTGTACTGACCTGACCTCAACTCTCTGCATATGGGGAAAAACTACCACAGCCCCCTGACAAAGCGCCAGTCCACCTGCTCGTGAACAGATGACGCAGTGAGCAGGGAAGGTCGAACAGGCGCCAAAATGGGAGCCCAGGTCCCTCCTCCTGCTGGGTAGGCCTGGGTGCTACTCTCAGCCGCCCAGTGCCTCCAGGTGCTGGGAGGTGGGAAGGCTGGTCTGGCCAAGGCTCTGGCACCACCTGGGGCCTGGGAAACTCAGCCCAGACATGCTGGCACAAACACTAATTGCTGTCATTAAGTAATAAACACACAAGCACCCCTCCACAGGACATCTGTGAGGCCAGTGCAGCATTGAGTGTGTGTGTGTATGGGGGGGGGGGGTGCTTTCCACCACCACCACCCATGCAGCCTGGGTGAATGGGCAGCCTTTCACCATGGACAGGGCGCCCAAGAGCAGTTTAGCTAGGGTAGGGAAACAGGAAGGACACAGGATACCAGGGGTGGGTGGCGGTGGTGGTGTGGAAGAACATCCTCCCACCCTCTAATGAAGAGGTGCTCAAAGCCCTCCTCAAGCCCTGAGTCAGCTCAAAGCTGAGGGAGCAGCACTCCGATCTCCACCCCTGGGCCTCCATGAGGCACAGCCCAATGAGCTTCCACAGGCTGAGGCTGGCAGAGGAGGCAACGTTCCAGGTGGTTCTCTGACTCACAGATGCCTAGCAACTGAGCATCGAGGGCAGGCCGTACCTTCCATGTCAAGGCCACCGGTTCATTCACTCGGGGTCCCATCCTGGGTCTCTGAGACTTACCCTGAGCGCCCAGCCCTGCCTAGGACACACCTTCTCCCTTGCCCAACACCTTGCCCTGTTCTTGGGCACAGCAGGAAGCCAAACAGTCCAGGTGTGATTGTGGGCACATACGGGTTCCCGTGAGCTAGCACTGTCAGACCAGCAGAAGGCAGCAACACCTGCCCCCAGGAGAGCCCCTCAGTCATCTAATCAAGTCACTCAGGACTGCCCAGTGGGGCAAAGGAGACAGACTCAGGCTTCCTCTATTGCCAACTGGCCCACCCCGTTAGGTAGAGACAAAGATTCTGGGGTGCAGATCCCACATGTCCCACACATTGTCTTAGGTCTGGGGGTGGATACACAAAGGAGCAGGGGCCAGGGTTGCCAGTGAAGATCTGCTAGCTGAGCAGGGCTGCCCGTCCTCCCCATTCCCTGCCACTCCCCCGATCCCCACCCCAAGCGTACCGGAGTGCCAGGGGCCCAGAAACCATGTGCGCAGCAGCCAGCGGGGGTGGCCTCCTTGCAGGCTTGGTCTCCCTGGGGGAGCATCAATGCCTGGTCACCTGAGGAGAAGGAGGGCACAGTTACCCATATGGCTATCACCTTCAGGATCCGGTGGGCAGGCATAGTGACCACAGTGACCTGGGCTAGGTGAAGTCCTACTGAGAGAGGGTGATCGGGTACCTTAGGGGCCCCTAGGCCTGAGGAGCTAGTGGCAGGTGTGGTGACAGGAAACCTAGGCCCAGCCCTCCCTGGCCAGCTGGCCACACCTATATAACAAAAGGTCTGAAGTGGAGACACTTGTGCACAGGGTTATTTATAAGAACCAGTCTCAACTGCCTCTGGTCCCCAGCTACCCCCTCCGCCTTTGCCAGAGTTGAGGGACGCCCCCACACAAACACAAAATTTTCCCCTTCTAAAGGCACACCCAGCCTAGCCCAGTGGGATCACGTGGCCTTCCTATCAGCAGAGTCCGTAGCTCCAACCAACAAGGCCACTGGCAACTGCTGCCAGAGGTGGCCCCCTTGCCTTCCAGAACTTTAGCTGAGATTCTGGCTCCTTTTAGATCACACAGGCCACACCAGGCAGGGTTCCCTGGATTGGGTGGGGGTGGCGCTGGCCTGGAGCCCATCCCTGCTGGCCCTTCCCCCAGGCCACTCCTAGGGCCAGGGAGGTTCAAGTTGGTCCCTCAGGAATGTGACCAGACACCCGGTGCTGCCCGGCCTCAGTCGAGTCTGCAAGCTTCATGTACCAGTGGTTGGGGTGGCCCAAGTGAGGGGCAGCCAAGGGCCTACCAACAACCAGGAGGCTACAGAGCCAGACCTGTCAGTCCAGTGCCTAAGCGTCCATGTTTCATGGGTCTGGGGATGGGCCCATCACTCAGGAGGGATTAAGTCTGTTCACAGAGCCCAGGGCCCCCACCCCCAAGTGAGGTTAATCAAAAGGACAGAAGAGTTTGCAGCCAAGCAATGGGTACAGCCAGCCTGGGAAGAAGGGCAGGGGCCACTGTCGAACAGGAGAAAGTAGTTTAGGGATGCCCCGGCAACAGCATTAAGCTCACCTGCCCCCAGCTCCCCACAGGTGTAACTTTGCCCAAACATCTCAAGCTCAGGCTGGGGTGATCCTTCCCAAACCTGCCCAGATCTCCCAGCAGGAATGGACAGAGGTAGGACCTATGGTGGGGTCCCAGGTTGAGGCAGACACAGGAGTCTCCTCTCAGCTCAGGTGTCAGGGTTTGAAGAACTGCCTTACGAGAGTTTACAGCAACTAGTGGGACCACCCTGCCTGCCATCCACTCCCAGGTTGGGTTCACCCTGCCCTACTTGAGACTCCAGAACCCTAAGAAGGTCTTCTCTTCTCTGCTGGTTGGGGGGCTGTGGGCACCTGCCTGCAGAGGCCACACCTTGGCTCAGGAAGCTGACAGCTCAATATCCTATCAGGTACACATGCTGGTGCCCAGCCCTGGAAGGAGTCATCTGCTAGCTAAAATGAGTATGCTGCCTGGCACTGGTTCCTGGCATCCAGCAGCTTCTGGCAACAGGCTTAGACCAGGTGCCTATCAGCACCAAGGATCACAAGCCACCAGCAGGCTGGCTCTGCAATGCCCAGGATGTGGAGCAGTGGGACAGCTGCTCTGGGGCGAGGTGGGGTAGGATGGGGTGGGGAAGTATGGTGGCGGCAGCAGCAGGAATACAAGTGCACAGCCATAAGAAGGATGGAAGAAAAAAAACAGAAAAATGGATTCCCAAGATTCTCAAGTCCTAAGCCACCTTGTCAACTTGGTCAATAAAACATCCTGCCACCCAGCACAAGGGCTGCTAAAACCACAAAGCGGGCAGGTCTTAGTAAGTTCTCCTTTCCTTTTCTCTCAGTCCCTGTCCCACCCTACTTTCCAGCCACAGGGCGCGCACAAGCACACGCACACGCACACGCACACGCACACACACACACACACACACACACTTCTCTCTGGGGTCTCCATACAGACCCACCCTCCACCCAACCCAGAGTGTCCACCAGGTAAGTTTCTTCAGGAGAAAGAAGTACGTTGGGGCAGGCATACCCAACCACAATTCTGACTCATAGTGACCCTAAAGAACTGAGTAGAAATGCCTCAAAACTGTCAATCTGTACAGGAGCAGACGTCCTCATTTTTCTTTTGAGGAACAGCTGGTGGTGGTGGTGGGGGTTCAAACCACTGATCTTGTGGTTGGCAAGGGGGTGGTAAAAATACAGGAAATTATAGAGCAATCTCATTCCAGTGATGAGTCGAGTGTATAATCAGCGTGAAGTACTTTTACAGCCCTAAAAACAATAGTTGAATTTGTGCATTAATCTCAAGAATCTGTCTAGTGAGGGACACTTTGAACAGAGAACATACTGCTGGACTGCGTCCTGACAAGTCCTAAAACACAGTGGGGAAACTCACAAGGAGGATGAGGTGAGGACAGATGATGTGGAAAGGCCATGTGGAAATGTTCTGAGTATCCTGATTAACATCACCACCACTCACTATTGTCGCTTTGATTCTGACCCACAGCGACCTGACATTGCTGTTGTGTCATCAGTCCCTACAGGACAGAACAAAACTGCCATACCTGTGTAGGGTTTCCGAGGCTGTAAATGTTAATGGAAACAGATAGCTGGTGGGGTTAAACCATTGACCTTGCAGTTAGCAGCCCAACACTGACCCCAATGTCCCACGGTGGAGAGTCAGAATTAGAATGCAGAAGTCAATGTGCTTTAGTCCACCCAGGTATGCCAATCAGCCTCAGTTTTGCAACCTAGAAGCAGCCCACGGAGGCAGAGGCATCTGGTGAAAGCAAGTCCCTGTTGCTCCCTGCCTGGGGCACTCTCTGTGTGCCCTTGACCTGTGTTCCCCAAACTTGCACAGATGGCATTGAGGATTTGCAGCATGGCTGGACCAGGGTCAACACCTCAAGGCCTAGCTTCTGAGATCCACAAAGGAGAACGTTTGGAGTTAGCACCTCTCAGAGGCTGAGAGAACCGCTATCCAGTAGAAGCAACCCTCATAGAGAGCACCAAGAATGACTCCAAGGCCCCAATTGTGACAACAGTACCCCAACTCGGCCTGGACTTCCCAAGAGGCCAGGCATTCAGAATGTGCCCCACAAGTGCAGGCGACCCCACCACCTCCATGAGCACCACTAGAGGGTGTGGTCCTGGCCCTCATGAGCCTGCCTCTCAAGAACACTGCCACTTCCACAGTGCGGAGCTGGGGGGAGGGGCCAGGAACGAGGCAGGAACCTGAGATCAGAGCAGGCAACTGTCCAGTTCCTGAGTGACTGAGAAGGACAGTGCTTAGGGAAGAGGCAAGCCCCCTTGCCTCTCTTGAGGCCTCCTCTCCACCCAATGGGCGGTCTGATCTTCCTAGGAGAGAGCTGCCCTGCCCTGCCCTGTCCTGCTCTGCCCCACCCCAGCAGATTCCTCCTTTCCCCTTCACCATCTCCTGGCCAAGGAATTCCAGCTACAAGGAACAGACTGAATCAATACTCCCAGCTGGTGCCAGACCGCCTGCCCAATGCTCAAGTGCCAGGTGGGAGGGAGGGCCAGGCCAGGCAGAAAAGCAGTGCAGGGCTGGGGGCTGGCATCTGGCAGCTCCACACCCAGGGGTTTAAGGTATGTCTAACTGGGTCCTGAGAGCCTGACCACCTGACCACTATGATCGTCACTACTCAGGTGCAGCCCAAGCAGTCCCTCCCCCAGGCCTCAGAGATGGGTGGGTAGGCTATAGGGGAGGATACCCTGGCAGAGGTTAAGTACAAGAGTCAGTGAGTCCCAAGTCTGACACACTGGACCCATGAGAGTCCTTCCCTTCCTTTAACCTGCTTCAACAAGGACCCCTCAACGAAATTCCTCCCACCTCAACCCCACTCCTGATACTCCACCAAAGGCCCTACCGGCCCTCCACCTCAGCTCTGAACCCTGCCACGCACAAGGCTGCCTCTGTGGGGGAGGACTCTGAACATGTACTGGTCTAACTGAACCCTCTCACTAGTGAGGGGATACCAACATCTCTACTTTCAGATGTCACTTTGAGGACTGCAGTGCACCTAACCCAAGCCTTAGGATTTTCAGTAGCCTCATATGCATGCAAAAAGCTGGACAATGAATAAGACTGGAGTAGAATGTATGCTTTTGGATGACGGTGTTGGCCAAGAATACAGAATATACCATCGACTGCCACAAGAATGAGCAAATCTGTGTTTGAAGAAGTACAGTTGGAATGCTGTTTAGAGGTGAGGATGACAAGACTTCATCTCACCTACTTTACATATGTCATCAGGAGAGACCAGCCTCTCAAGAAGGGCATCACGCTGGTAAAGTGGAGGGTTAGTGAAAAAGAAAATCCTCAATAAGGTACACTGACACTAGGGCTGCAATGACAGGCTCAAACACAGCAACGATTGTGAGGCTGGTGCAGGACTGGGGTTTTGTTCTGCTGTACAGAGGGTCACTATGGGCCAGAACCTATTTGATGGTACCTAACAACTACTGCTATTTTCAGATTAGAAAACTAAGGGTGTCTTGGGGGTTGAGCGACCTGCCTGTGGTCATAGCAGGCAGTAGGTGGCAGAGAGAAAAGTCAGACTTTGGGGATGAACATCCCCTGGACCCCCCCCACCTCCAACCCAGCCCACCTGCTCACAGGGGAGGCCTGAACCCCAATAACCCAGTTAGCAAGAAGCCATGAGGCAGGGGCGTGCCTGAGCTGACTGCTGCCAGGGAACACCCATGCTCTCCGTCACCTCTCTGCCCTGTCTCTCCAACCATGGCTGCTGGTGGGTGGGGACCCAATCTCTGGGCAAGCGAAGCTATGTAATCCAGCCCCAGACCTGGACCCCGGCCAGCGGTTTCTGGCTCTCTTCCCAGTCAGCCTCCTGGAAAGCAGCAGACGTGGATGCCAGGCACCCATCCAGCCCTCTGCCCACAAGGCTTCTATGAAACCACAACTCAGCTTCATTCAGTGAGGGAGATGTGGTACCCAGGAGCCCAGGCCAGCCCTACAACCCACCTGCTCAGTCACTATGAGACAGTATGGACATGGCGTCACCCTAGTCCAGCATGTCTGACAGGGAAGGA